TTTTTTTTCAATCCCCAGCAAATTATATAAAAATGGATTTGAAGATATCCACAGCCACGCTTTCAATGGGACAAAGCTGAATCAATTGTGAGTATGTTTCCCCTCCTCGCTGTTTTTTTGAAATAGTAAATAATAGTTCAAATACAGTCAAATTCTCTTCCTTCAGCTTAACTGGCTATGTCTTGCATTTGCCGATATCCATTAGAAAACTGCATATATCAGTGTCATTGTGACTCAGTTGTTGATCCTGCAGCACTTACTGCTTTTCCTGAAACACCATCCCTTGGCATGGTGCAGTTTTTAAGAGAAAAACTCATAATTTTAAATAAAATTCAATAGATTCCTAAACTTCCTGGTTTAAGTCAGAAGAAATTGGAAATGATCAGAATTAAGTGCAGATGAGGATGGTCTGATGGCATGAGCAGAGGGAAAGGACACCTGAGAAATACAAGTGCTCCCAGACCAGATATTGCAACAGCAACCGCTGTGGTGGGAGAGAAGATTGCCCAGGGAGGTGGTAGATGTCCCGACCCTGGAAACATCCAAGGTCAGGTTGGACGGGGCTCTGGGCAACCTGGTCTAGGGGAAGATGTCCCTGCTCACTGCAGAGGGGTTGGACTAGGTGACCTCCACGGTCCCTTCCAACTCAAACTTTCTATGACTCTAAGATCAAGAGCAAATAGCTGGGAAGAAGAAACTAAAAAGGTTGTTTTAAAATGGAGACATAAAGAGTCAATGTTTGATTCCACAGAATCCTGAAGGACAATAAGAACCTCAGGCGGATACACAACGACGCCCTGAGAGGGGCCACAGGGCCAGACGTCCTGTAAGTACCCCCCGCTCTGTCACCTGGGCTTAGGGGTGTCCCACGGGAATGGTGCTGTGCTGCATGGGCTGCACCATCCCAGCAAACACGGGCTTTGAGTCTGCAAGGAGACTTCATCTCTTACCCTCTGCTCCTCAAATGGAAAGATGTCAACAAGATGCTGCGAAATTGCAGGGCAGAAGGCTCAGTTTGCACCATGACAATCAGCTGGTCATAGCATTGGCACTGACCTCCACCTCCTAGATATTTCAGTCTTTGCTTTAGTTGTGTCAGACCCTCCTGATCCTATCCCTGTGCCTTATACTCTGACATTGCCAAGCAACTTGCCTTTTGGTAGGATACGTATGTATTTACAATGTATTATTTTAGAATTGGGTTATAAACATGAACTAGTTGATTGCATGCTATAAGCCCATGCTGAATAAAACACATTATTAGCCTCCTCGTGCTTTATTAATCGAGTACTTACCGGAGGGCTGCACTGGCTGGAACTCCATGCAATGAAACACAACGGGCAGCTCTGTAAATAGCACTCTGTGCCGCATGTGCTATTTTGTTCCTTTACAATACATGGCATTACTAGTATCACTTTCATAATTCTAGCCTTTTTTTCCCCCTCCTGTTTAATGGCCTGACTCTGAAAATCCTTGGTCACGGCAATGGCCTTTCCTCACACAAACAGCCTCTCTAAAGTTACTCTAAGCCTAAACGTTTGAGTTTGTCTTGCCAAGAAGGATGGATTATTTTATGTATCTTAAATAGTAACCATTTAATTAAATGGTTGGATTAAATCCAGGCTGGATGAGGCTTTGAGCAACCTGGCCTAGTGGAGGGTGTCCCTGCCCATGGCAGGGGGGTTGGAATTTGATGATCTTTGGGGTCCTTTCCAACCCAAACCATTCTATGATTCTATGGTTGTATGAAAACACCTAGAAGAGCCCTTCAGAGCCAAGAAGAGAGCCAGGAGGATGTCCTACCTGTTAAGCTGGTTGGAGAGTCATGTTCGCCCACTTTCTTTCCCTTTCCCTGGCCTAAAGAGCCATCCCTTGCTCCATGCATGGTGCCTTTCAAACAGAGAGGTCAGGGCACAACCCCTGCGACGATGGGTTTTCATTTCCCCAGGACAAAGCAAGCTTCTGGCCACACTGGGGCTCCTGGACCGTGGGGATGCTCTTACTCCACGGCTCTGTGGTTTCACAGACCACGTTTCTGAGCTGGGTATCAGGTGCTGAAGTGGCCTTGCAGATTTGGACCTTTGTGAAAAAATGAGTCACTGTTACCTACTGTCACGCTTTAGTGGTATTTTTATACATATGAAAAGAAAAGAGAACGCTCTCTTTATTTTGAAGGGATATTTCTTCAACGGCGCTGGAGTCCCTGCCTAGTTACGGGCTCGAGGCCATTCAAATCTTAAACGCAACATCATCTTACTCATTAAAGAGGCTGCCACCGCTGGATAAATTCAGCAGTCTTCTGGAAGCTGTTCTAACGTATCCCAGCCACTGCTGTGCTTTTCGAAACCTAAGGACAGAAAAGTAAGTCCAAATAGCGCATTACTGAATCGCAGTACTTCAGAAGCTCCAACATGGCAATGCTGCTTTATTCAGCTCAGGAGGTTTGATTCTCCTTACTCCAGTTACAAGGAAGCTGTGGTACATAGCAGGGCCTCACACAAAACAACAAATCTCTGCTAAAGCCAGGAAAATAATCTCTATTTGTTTGAGAACAGAAATAGATCCCCTCCTGTGCCCACGATCTGCCAGCAGGGACATTATTCTGAGTTTGCTTAAAGCTTCTATTTTTCTTCATATCTCAATTAAATAAAAAGCCTACTGGCATGTGGAAGCTAGATCTCCATCAATAGCATGTTGCCCTAAAAAACAAGAACCCCCTGTAGCCCTTAGCTATGTAGGACCAAAATTAGGATCTGACACAAGCATACAGAAGGAATTTACTCAGTTTAGTTCCAGTCATTTCAGATAACAACAGACAGGATTGTTCACCCCACAACTGGAAACTGTGGCGCAGAGAGCATCTGCTCATTCGGGGCAGTCAGCCTGAGACAACTGGAGCTAATCTTTCAGTATTTGTGTTTCAAAGAAATCAACCCTTAGTGGGCTTCAGGCAGCCAAAGCAACTCCAAAGGAGTTTAGTTGGAGCTCTGAGGATGCTTCACTTCTCACCTGTCTCAAACGAAGGCTACAGACAGGATGGACTCAGCAGTCCTCTGCGGGAAGCCTGGTCTGTGGGACTCACATGCCATGGCATCAGGGCTGCGTCGCAAAGGCAGGAGTAGAATCCAGTTCTTGGGTCAAATTAGGGGTGATGCCAACGCTTCCTCTGCCCGCCTCATTTTAGTAAGTGATTCCGTTTTCTGCAAGAGCAAAGATCCTACACTCAAGGGTTTCCGTTGCTACCAAACTCTGATTTAGTCCCAGATCAAGTCTCCGAGTGTATTAAATGCAGAAGCAACTCTGGGACCAAAAAAATTAATGTTTTATTCATTTGGATTAAGATAATTACATTTTTAATATTATATTAATTTTCAGGTGCTTGACTTTGCAACATGACCATGCTCTATAAAAATGGGTATTTAATAAGTCACTTTGTTACATTTAATGACTGTTTTCTTAGTAAAATGGGAAAAAAAAAGCACAAAAAAACCCCAAACCTGCAAATCTGTCCTCCTAACTGGGACATCAGCAGGGTGCAGAGCATAGTCTAATATTCTTGAGATTTCTGGGGTACAGTTGTAGTGTGCCATTCCCCGAGCCATGTCAGAGAGGTGAAAGGGAGCATTCAGTTCTCTAGACTTTCTTCCTCTGGCTTGAATGGTGGGGTGGGCAGGGAGGGAGGGCAGGAGAAAGCAGGTTAGACTACATCTTCAAAAAACTACAAGAGAAAAAAACCTTCTGTTGCCATCCCATTTTTTACAAGCATCACATAGGGGCTTAGAGTGGTATCTTAAATCCTTTTTTCTCTCATTATACATAAAAAATTCTGTAAGCTTCCAGGTGTACTTTTGTACTTTTCAAACTCCATGCTGGAAGTAAAGCAAAGGCTACCTCCAGATCCCAAACAGTTTTTAAAATAGAGCATCAGGGCAGCTTCCCAGCAGTTGTTAACACGTATAAAAAAAAGCATTACCTGCTACTGTTCATACTGGTGGAGCATCTGGCCCACTCCAACACAATACTTCATAAAGCTAAACAGACCTTTTAATTCCCGATCAACTTATTTCAATTAAAAAAAAAAAAATATATATATATATAATTTGACCAAATCCTTCCTGAAACTCAACTTTCTTTTTCATCCTTCTTTCAGACAAAATTCCTTGCTTGCCATTTTTGACAGCTTCTCCAAAGAGTGTGAAATCACCATGAGGAAACCAGCTAATGACATATTGTAAGTACCCCTCTGCATACAGATGCTGGAAGGAGCAAATGTGGACCTCCCCCTCCTGCTGTTCATGGTTTTTTTCTAGAAAAGCATGTCTTTTACTGCTGATTCAGTCACCCTTGCAAGTTGCACAGTGGTAATTTTACAATCATTAAACAAGATTTGTGATTTTGATGTCCAAAAGGAAAGGAAAAAAAACCCCATAATTTCAGGAGCTTTAGTCACTCCAGCTTCTCTTCTGAATTCTCACTTTCAAAACAGCAATTAAATATTTAATGGCCTACATGGAGACTTTTTATACCCTGAAATAATTGTGGGGTTTTGTGTATTAACAGCTGCTAGCATTAATATTTCTTGCCTATAGAAATGATAATTCAAAGTCTGTGTATCAGGTATTTTCCATGGTACAAACAGAGTCCCTGGGTTTGGAATGCGATGACCCCATACAATTGGTTTACCTCTTCTAAATGTCTCTTTCCGTATCATCACAGTTCTGTTTGACAGTGAGAAAGACTAACATCAAAACTGTTGTGTTGGCCGTGCTGGATGTCACAGGCTCTAAACCTTTATTTAATGGAGAAGTTTAAGGATTTGCAACCATCCACCCCTCTACAGCTAAATGGGGACTTCTCTTTAGCCCCGAGGTGGGGTCAGAGCATGGCAAAGTCTAGCAAAACAAGGTTATGGTCACAAAATCCCAACAGCTAAATACAGCTGAAATGGGATTCATCCATGGGGCTACTGACTTTCTTCGCACAAATCACCAGTGCCTACGCCAGAGTAATCCCCCTGCTTCGGATTAGCATCTGTTGCACTCCCACTGTGCATTAAATAGTCTGCCCAGTCTATTGATTCCTGAAGATTTTTGCTTTGCTAAGTCCCAACCCCAGCAAATCTCCGAGTAGATATCATGTTAAGCAAATGTAACTAAGGTCATGATCCATGGGCTGAAAGGCTGCAAGCTGCAAAGTTTGGGAACCACAGCAGAAATTGGCTGAAAGTCCCAAGGTCTTATTAGAAAAAAATAACCAGTGTGCCCATGGCACAGGGCAGCATGTTTATGTGGCCTCTCAGAAAATCACAATCATTTTTTATTAATAAAGAGTCAAACATGTTCCCTGCTCTTCCAGTTTAGGAATTTGGAGTTAGGATAACAAGACTGGGAAGTTATTTCCCCAACAGGAACAGCTGAAAAGCAGCTCAGCTTCATTTGCCAGTTATGACTCTGCTCCAGAAAAATAGTTTAAAGCACATGCTTCAGTAGCTGTGGAAGTTTAAGCATGTATTTAAGTTATCCCAAAGCTGCCAATTCTCTGAAGTGTTGTCCTCGACAAGAGATACTTTCCAGGTCTCACACTGCAGCCGGACTGTTTGCTCACAGCTGGGATGACTGGGTAGTTGTGCAGCAGGTACCTGTCCTGGCAAGGGAATCCGAAGGGACAGTGCTTGTTTTTAAAATGCTTCTTCTTTAGTAGGCTTATCCCCATGCTACTGATGAGCTGGAGATTAGAGAGCTCTATTTTAAACATCTAGAAACATTTATAATTACACATTGGGTCCAGACTAAATATATTCCTAGGCATCGACATTACCCAGTTAACCATGCTCTTCTATTCCTCACTCACAATAGTGTGACCCTCAAATTCCTTAGCATTTCCCAAGTCACACATAGTCAGGACTTTGTTCGGTAAGTGCATTTCCTAGGGGAGGTAAGGGTGCACAGTTAAAATCCTTCGGTTATGTTAGTTTTGCTTCCATAACCATCTGATACAGCTATATGCATCAATCCTCTAATCCAACCCTTTGAGTGTGACTGTAGTTTGAACTGCCGTCTGCTGGCAGCATGGGACAGCTCACTTACAAAGGGATCAGGATAAAGTCCCTACAAATAAGCATTCTTGTGGATGTGACTGTGACCTCTGCTGCTCTCCAAGGCTGCTACCCAAGCAAAAGGCACCCTTACAAGCCTTCACCGTATGTAAACACCCTGTAGAAACACATTGAGGAAGTTACTGGTTCAAACCAGCTGTTGACTGTTGTATTTTACAAAAGAGCGCAAGCAGCATGTAACAAATAGTTCATTTCTATTTGTGGGGGGTTGTTTTTTTAATAGTTACAGAGATGATGCTTACAACACATCGCTGTGGTCAGCAGAAAAGAACACATACCCTTTCACAACAGATCAAGAAACCTCTCCTTACAGCTACTCAGCCGTTTTTGATGACAGTGAAATGCTCGGCTTCGACTTCGAGTATGACTTTTGTCAGCCTAAGATACTCACGTGCACTCCGGAACCAGATGCATTTAATCCCTGTGAAGACATCCTGGGCTACAGCTTTCTCCGAGTCCTCATCTGGTTTATAAATATCCTTGCCATCGCCGGCAATTTCACCGTACTCCTCGTTCTCCTAACCAGCCACTACAAGCTCACCGTTCCTCGCTTCCTCATGTGCAACCTCTCCTTTGCCGATCTCTGCATGGGAATTTACCTGCTGCTCATCGCTTCCGTTGACGCCCAGACAAGCGGCCAGTACTACAACCACGCCATAGACTGGCAGACGGGCAGCGGCTGCAGCACCGCCGGCTTTTTCACCGTGTTCGCAAGCGAGCTCTCGGTGTACACGCTGACGGTCATCACGATAGAAAGGTGGCACACCATCACCTACGCCATGCAGCTGGACCGAAAGCTCCGGCTGAGGCACGCTGTGCCCATCATGCTCGGTGGTTGGATATTCTCCATTTTAATAGCAGTGCTGCCTCTCCTCGGTGTCAGCAGCTACATGAAGGTGAGCATTTGTTTACCCATGGATATCGAAACGGGTCTTTCCCAAGCCTACATACTGCTGATCTTAGTGCTAAACGTTGTCGCCTTCGTTGTTATTTGTGCTTGCTACATTAAGATTTACATCGCTGTTCAGAACCCAGAGCTGGTAGCTGCCAATAAAGATACCAAGGTTGCGAAGAGAATGGCCATCCTGATCTTCACGGATTTTACCTGCATGGCCCCCATCTCCTTTTTCGCCATATCTGCTGCCTTTAAAGTACCTCTCATCACAGTGACCAACTCCAAGATTTTGCTGGTTTTATTTTACCCCGTCAATTCCTGCGCAAACCCATTTCTGTATGCCATTTTCACCAAAGCATTTCGAAGGGATTTCTTTCTGCTGATGAGCAAGCTCGGTTGCTGTAAAAGCCGAGCAGAGCTTTACAGGATGAACTATTTCTCTGCTTATACCTCCAACTGCAAGAACGGCAGCTCAGCCGCAGTCCCCAGCAAAGCCTCACAAGCGCTGCTGCTCTTGTCGGCGTTAAAGCCGTATCCTGCAGTACGAGACAAGACGTCTTACAATGAAAATTAAACCGCAGCGCCAATAGCTGCAGCAATTTTGCAAGGCCAGCTGTAATTATTCTAGTGACTAGGAATTCTTTTATAATATCTTGAACATTTCACAATAAATAAAAATGCCAATCAAAAATTCTTATGCAACATAACTGTTCTGACGTTCAAAGTGATGCTTTCCCCTCTTCTTCTTTTGTAACAAGGTAAGGTGATCATTAGGAAAACCCTTCTTTGGGAGGGACCGGGGGAGCCCAGGAGTAGTCAGGGTGCTCTTGAAGTTAATGGGTACTGCAGTGATTGCAGTCTGGCTCCTTTCTCTCCACACCTGCTTCCCTGGGGTATTTAAAGCCTGTCTGCTACCTTTCGTGCCTTGCTTTTCCACTCCTATCAGCTGTGCTGGCATTGTTGGGTTAAAGAAAGGGGCAATAAACTAGATGCCTCCCTTCATTTCATCAACAGAAACTTCCAATTACGCAGCCACCTACAGCCCGTTAAAGAAGTGTTCAAGCAGTAGGTTGTAAAGATGTCACCAAGGAGAAAAGTGGCCCTGCGGAACTTTTCTTACCAGCAATGTTGCAGTTTACATTAGATCGCAGTCTGAGCTGGTAGGTAATCTACTATAAAAAATTAACCCATGCACAATCAGGTACAATCTAGAAATGAGAAGAGATGCAATTAGCTGTAAACTGCACCCCCCCCCCCCACTGTGTTTTATATATCATACATGTGCACAGACAAATCACATAAAACCGTAAAGGCTCCCTCTCAGCAGCAGGATAGCTGCTGCCTGCACAGGCAAATAAGCGCTGCCTTGTTTTCTCTCCAGGGACAGTCTCACAAATTATTTTCATCTGTCCACCCTCCAGCATCACTAGTGCCAGTGGCATTCAGGATGCACTAGGGACTCCCCAGCACTCACAATCCAACTTCATTCCCGGCTGATGAAGCAGAGTAACTTTGTAGAGACTGTGCTTTCCCATTAAAATCTTTTCTTTCACTGTGCATTGCCTGATGCTAAGGAGATCCAGATTTGTGGCTGCGTTCCTAATTTAAGTAAGAATTGAGCATTCCTTTGTTATTACAGCATATTTACTCTGCCTGCAGAAAATAAGCTGTCACCCTTACACAGTTCACTTGCCACAAGCCAAGGCCACGCTGTATTGAAGTTGGAGATTCAGGTGTGTAAGCTCTTACCTGCATCGTATGGGACAAATAATCCGAGTGACAAGGTGCAGGCTGCACTGAATGCCAGGCAGGATCCCTGCCGCAGCCTGCCCCAGGCACGTCCTAATGAGGCCGCATTCTGCACTGTCCAGTCACCTGAAAATGAGGGGCTTAGTGACTGCAAAGCTCCCAGTCCTGTGGGCAAAAGCTGCGGACCGCAGGTCAAGCCTCTTCTTAGAGAGCTTATTCTTGACAGGTTGGTTACATTGCCTCTGATAGTGCTGACATCTCTTCAAACCTATATGGTAGCGTGAGACTACACGTGGCAGTTTATGGGTCACAGAAGGCAAAGCAAATGCATTTTATTTGGGCTTGTAGTGGAAGTTTTAGCATCTTAGATCCCATTCTGTAGATGATACTCACAGTATCCTCGGCTCGTATAACACGTACCTCCCCTGCAGTCAGTGGAGCAGTGCGGCTGTGTGAGACCGGTGCTTACTGCAGAACAGTCACAGCCTGACGGTTCTTGATGGCCACTGAAAGCGCAGACTGATACATAAGAAAATGGTATTACTGCAGGCACTTTAAACCTCTTACATTTTCCTTCTCAACTAAGTCCTTTGCTTTCAAGACTGTGACAGCAACAGAATAAAAATCTCCGTTCTAAAGCACACCTCCTGTTGCCAAAACACCGCACTGCAAATTAAATTTGCTTCACGTTAATGAAAGTGATTCTTTTTGTACTAATGACTGGTTTATCATTAGCTTGTAATTGTGTTAATTAGAAATAGCATCTCTGACTCTGTCTTACCCTCAGCTTAACGCCATGATTTCAATCAGTATAAAAGATCTGCATGGAAGCGTAGCTGTACTCACGAGCAGGCCGCGCACACGTGGGGAACAAAGCAGAACTGAGAACAGAGGAGACTGTTAAAACTCTACAGTTTAGCAATCAGTAAAAATCCCACATGATGCCCCTCTTTATACACATCAGCTCCTGAGCTTAGCAGATGAGCAAACGAGGCTACTGTAGGATATTTAACTATAACAGAAACTAAAGACACTGGTGAAAAAAACCCCTACTTGGCCTAAGGCTTCTCTGTCACCTATCAAAACTGATTTTCAAGGTGCATTTCTTTGGACGGCCCGTGGAAGAGGCCTGCACACAATTTAGGACATGGCAAAACAGTGTCTTGAGCGAACAACAGAAGTAATTTATATACTTCAAATTCTTCTACACACAAAAGTAAGCAAATAAGTAAAAGCAACACTTTATTAAAGATTTAGATTAATCCTAAAGCATCTCATACAAGTTACACTTTTTATTCCATTTCATTATTTTTGGTAAATTTACCTTCTTCCCAGTGTAAAGTTTTAGACAGCCATTTACTGGAGTATCTTCAGTGGCCATAACTGGTGTTACACTCCTCTTCCCATCACACCTGCAGCAACATGTAAGTAGCAGCAATCAAAAGTATTAATGCAGGAAACAATTTGGGTCAAAACCATTCTGATCTGATTACTGCTCAAGTCACAGGCTACAGTAATTAGCTAAGCGAGCTTACATTTCAATAAGAAACTTTTTTTTCCAGTACAAAAAATATCCTTGACTTCAGACATTTTTAGTTGTAAATGTCTTATTGAAAGCTGTATTGAATAGCCGGTGTTCCTTCAAGAACACTGGAAACAAAATGTAGGACAATTCTTGTACGCTTAGACAGAAGAAAATGAAAGTCAGTTCTACTGCAGGAGTCCAAACAGACAGTCCATAGCTCTGGACTGGGAAAGCCACTACAAGCACTCCCAAGGAATATCTGCAGTGTTATGAATTCAGTAGCCATCTTCTCAAATATGGGAAGGGTTGAGACAGTGAGAGCAAAACCCTACTCTAATCCCTAAAGCTTCCATATTTGGTAGCTCAGGAAGCCACTGGACGGAGCCCACGTTAAAGTTCCTTCATATCAAGAAGGTGCGGCATTCGAAAATGCAACTAAATGAAAACCCAGGGGGAGCTAAGCCACCTTCAGCATCCCTTTTGATGCAGGTCAGCTTCGAGCAGGAGTACCAGCCAGCTGTGCATACTGTCAGCAAAGCCTCAGGAGGAGAGATGGCACACAGTCTTTTGAGATTTTAATTGCTGATAGTGATTTTTGAAAAAGCAAAAGGGGATGAAAAATATCGCCGATGCCCAACCAGTAAAACTTACAAGTAGAAAGAGAAGTGTTAAAGTAAGGAAGTAAGAGACCCACCTTAAAAAATACTTCCAACCCCATGTGTGCAGTCTATATAATCAGTATCACAATTGGACTGCACAGAGGTCACAGCAAGCTGTCATAAAAATTAACTTGCAAAACTTCAAAGCATAAGAAGTGTTTCAAGAATGGAATAAAAAGGCAGATGAAGATAACAGGCAGAAGGTATGTAATATGTATGAATTGGTAAAGCTTAGAGGAGATGGGGGAAGGGAGGGAATTCGTACTTAATACTTTTATCTCACACATCTCAGCACCCATTCACAGAGGAACAAGGTCTAGAAATGGACAGGGAGAGAGGAGATGGGGAGTTATAAGGATGCTCAGAGCTTTGACTCCTCACCTTCATGTGAAGTCTTCACCTTCATGTGAAGTCTTTAACACCACAAGCAGAAAGGTGCAGCAAAGAGGAAAAAGCTGCCCGTCTTTAGCTAAAAATTAGGTACTCTTTAGTGACTTCATTTTACAGTGACTAGTGAAAGAGGTCCTATTCTCAGAAGCAACAGAGACTGCGTAGTGAGCGGTGCACATGCAGTCACATCCCATGGATTCCCGTGCCACACCACCTCTGCTTCCAGTCCTTCCTGAAGCATCGCTGCGCTGCCCAAGTTGAAGATGGCCCCACAGTTTATAATGTACACATTTATGGAGTATGAACACCTCAGAGCCTGCTGAAATCTAAAAGCATCTATCGTGTGGCAAGAACCACATTTCCTGTGCATTTATGGGTCTGAACTGCAGCATCAGTGCAGCTACAAGTCAGCTAAGTGGGGAAAAAGGAAATCACACACTGTAATATTTTAACTGTCTCTGAATACACAATTCTTCACATCCCAGCAACCAGTATCTATAAAAGACAAAAGAAATGCCACACTCAGGTCAGGCCTTCTAGTTCAGTGTCCTGTCTTTGGTACCAGACAGCAGCGGATATGTTTAAAAAAAAAAAAAAAAAGTATGCAAAAAACTCAAAGAAACCCCTGCCTCCTGAGGGAAGCATGTCTATTGTTTATGCCATCAGCACATGGGTTTGTACTTTTACGAACAAGGGTTGGAGTTTTTTTTTCTCTACAACTCTCCCCTTTATTTCCCTTCAAGGCCTCTGTATCCTCCCTGGGAGTAGAGATAACCAAAACATCTCATGCTGTCTTCTTCCAGCAGCCAGGAGGGAGGGGTGCCATACACTTGCATGTAGCACTGCCCTTCTGGCAGGATTACCCTGTTCCCAGCCAGCCTGGCTGAGGCTTTACCATTTAGTCTCCAGTATTGCCCCACAAGGAACGGGAGATAGCCAGGGGAGAGCTGCAGCCCTGAAGGGCTACTGCCCACACCTATGGGCACAGAACTTCTGTTTGACCTCTGCTTCTAGAGGAACAAAAAAAAGCTGATGTTGAGGACTGCTGGGAATGCAGTTCTCGTGTCACATGCATGGCTTGTGTGCATTTCTCTCAGCAAAGTTTATATTTGGGGAACACAAAAACAACTCTGCTAGAAATGTATATGAGATGACATTTTATTATTATGCAAAATTTGTACCATTCACAGCTTACTGGTCTGTAGTCCTAGAACGTACTGGATATGTACGGAAGCAAACTTAAATGATTTTCTGTTGACAGTGAAAATAAATCACATTTTAATGTTAAGTCACACTATTCATTGCATCTCAGTAAACAGAGGGTACAGAATAAACAATAATAATTCTCATATCT